CGTACATCTTGGTTACACAACTTTATACATAAACAGCCTTTATCCTCCTATTGTCACATCCCATCTTCCATAATCTTGCCTTTTGCTTTGTGGCAGTTATGGTCTATAAAAAATAAAAACTATTTTGATCGTCAAAAACTTAAGTCAAGTGTTCCTTTACTATACAAACAGGCTGCTGAATTTTATTATCTCACAAATCCTACAAAAAGAAATACCTCATTACTACCTCTATATATCAAATGGTATCCACCGAACTGACATTTTTTAAAGTTAAACATTGATGGATCTTCATCCTACACTCACAATAAATGTGGTATTGGTGGGTTGTTTCGCAGTCAACATTGCAAATGGATTATAGTATTTGTAGGAAGAACACAACATGGCTCTAGTGTTCAGACAGAACTGCTGGCACTTCTCATGGGGCTAAAAATTGCTATCCAACATCAACTCACACCACTAACCATCGAAACAGATGCAACTGCAATACTTGGTATGTTAAATACACCTACAATGCAATACACTAATTTAATCAATGATTGCAGGTTATTACTCCTACAACTGGATAATCCAAAGATCCAAAGCATCTACAGAGAGCAAAACTTTGTTGCAGACTGTCTAGCTAAATATGGAGCAATGCATGCGGCAGATAGTTGTATACTTTTTGGAAGTCCTCCACCTTTTGTCACGCCTTTTTACCAGCAAGATCAAGATGGAATGCTTAGAAGTAGACTGCTCAAATCAACAAATATGCTATGTAATAGTAGTTCCCTAACTAGTATTGTGTTTAGTAGTAGTATTGTAGTAACAAATCCAGTTTATGTGTATGACAATCATTTCCATAAGGGGGACATAGTATCTAACTCTAGTTCTCTTCAACTGATGCAACTTATGCATCCTACAAACTCTTGTGTACGTTATAAGTATTTATAATATGTTTATCTTTTTAACAAAAAAAAAAGAGTACAGATTCTTTTTAAAACAATAAAAAAATTAACAAACTAAAATGTTCACAAAAAGGCATTTCCTCTTCTGAGTCGTGCCTCGAATTTCTATTACACTGAAGGGTCGTTTGGTAGGAGGTATTAGAAAAAATAATGCAAGCATTGCTCTATGCATTATTAATACCTTGCTTGGTACATTTTTTCAACATGTGTATAACTAATACACATCATACTTGGTATTATCCTATGCATTAGTAATGCATAGAAAACCATGACATTAGTAATACCAAGGCTATTAATGCATGCATTAGTATGTTTAAAGACAAAATTGTCCTTAAAATCCTTTAAAGCTAGAGAATATGGAAGACATTTTTGTAAATAACTATTTTTCTTAAAAATTATACAATGCATTATAATTTTAATACACCACACCAAAGAGTAGATAAGAAATAATATATGCACAACTAATGCTTGCATTACTAATCTATGCATTACTAATACACCTTATTCCGCATTATTCTTATACATCCTACCACACCACCCCTGAGTTTTGGCACATGCAAAAGCCACAGTAGAGGCAATTCTACATTTCTAAAGCACAACTCCATATTATTCTTCTTACTAATTGGTTCAAAGGCTATGATTAATAAGCACAAGATACTAGAGCAAAATCAACCCAAAAGATCTGATGTTTTTAATTATAGAAAATTGTGGGCTGTTTAAGTTTACTATGCCTAGACAACGACCCATTATTTTCGAATTATTAACTTTGTTTTTCATCCTTGATTGACAAAACGACATAATTTTCTAGAATTTCAAAAAGTACGCAAACTAATTTAGCCTTTTGAATAACGGAGATGAATTCTTTTCACGATGTAAGATTCATTACAGACACACCAGAGCCATGGGAACAAGCTCAGATTGAACTCTTCTTAGGATGTTTTCTGAGATATGATCCAAGGTGATGGTGATGGTGATGGTTGAATCGTATGTGATAAGAGGTTTGTGAGTGGTAGTGGTGAGATGAGTGAGATATCGAGGAAGACAATGACATGAATTTAAATAAATATGTTTATGAAATTAATTCAAATATAAAGGACAAATTAGTCAAATCAATTTTTTATATTAATTAAAAATACATTTAAAAGTTGTTACAAGGGAATCAAATGAGAGAAGTAAGCGTAATATCATAAAATACAAGGAAGGTCAGTGATGAAACTAAACCTAAGGAAGGTCTCTGAAATCATCCCTTAAATTTATCTTGGTTTAATTGGAGGTAGCTAAATTTTATAATAAAGTCTTGATATAACTTGTCCCATATAGATTCTGATTTTGAACCAAACGATCCCTTTCTATTGTACGTTGAATTTGAAATTATTTCAACAATTTATTTTCCCCGAAAATTTTATTCAAAACTCGTGTCATTCTACCTCCTCGCCTCAAATATATTATTTTGGTTCATTTTATACTATATTGTTTTAATTCAAAAATTTGCACCGGTTGCCCCTTTATGTGACTGATATTTATTTTTTATCCTTGATTTTGATAAAGGTATGAAACTGACATTTTTAAGTTTAATGAACAATTTCTGGACTATGATACCCTTCCACTCCTTCTTCATCTTTTTTTTTTTTTTACAAACCAAAATCAACCACAGTTCTTCAATTTTGAAAGCTTTAATTTCTATTTGGTGGTTGAAAATTGAAGGTTATGATTAATTATTATTAAAATTATTTGAATGTTAATTATTTGTGCTTACATTTTTAGTTTATACACTAATTTAATGTTTTCTTTTAAAAATTTCAAAATTTCATTGTTGGTCCTTAGAAAATGTTGAAGAAGACTTGTTAATTTTGTGTTATTTGATTAAATTGGTGATTGAAGATCCTTTCTGCTGGTGTTTGAAAGCTTGGTTTCAAGTTTGAGATCATTTGGCTAGATTTGAGGTGAGTTGCTTAAAACTAGGATTGCAAATTTGTTGAACACTCAATTTTACAACATAGACAAATTATGCCAATCATGTAGATTTGTGTGAGTAATTTAACGGATAAGCCAAATGCAGATCACGAAGTCACACTAATATGGTAGAGTTTGGTATATAATCAAACAAATACAAAGTCATGCCAAGTAGGCAGAGTTTGTGAATTATCATGGCATGTCCGTATAGTGTAAAGTCATGCCAATTTGGTAAAATTTGTGATCAATTAAACAAAATATATAGAATGAATATATAACAAAGTTATGCCAATCTAGTAGAATTTGTGAATATGAACAAGATTACAAGACATGTAAAATAAATATAGCACAAAATCATGTCAATATAATCTTGATAGAGTTGTAAACAATTAAAACAAGATAGTGAATTAATATAGCACGAAGTTGTACCCTGTTTGATTAGACATGAAAAAATTATTATTTGACTAGCGACGACAGAAAAAACATAAAGCAAAAAAAAAAAAAAAAAAAAAAAAAAAAAAAAAAAAAAAAAAAAAAAAAAAAAAAAAACGATGTGCATGAACAGTCAAATCATGAAATTTGGAGCTATGTTGAATATGGAACTCATCTCTCGAAAAGACCAAAAATTTGTTCAAATTGGTCCCTCGACCAATAAACAATTGGTCACGTCTCATGTGTTATATGACCATATAAGTCACCCAAGGGACAATACGACATTCATAAACCTTTTACTCCCTTATGACTCAAAAAAAATCCAATGATCATTGGACATAAATTTTAGTCCAATATTTTCAAATTAATGTATCCCTTTTATCTTCTCTTTTTTTTTTAAGCTCGGTCTCTTTTAAGTAGTTTCTCACATACTCATAATTTTTCACTGACTACGAAAGCTAATTTGGCTAGTAAATATCGTAAAACTAAATAAGGAATCAACAAATTATTAATTTTCGTAAGATTTACTTAGAACTGTGAGCTTTGTATTTACATAAGTAATGATTGTAAATAAATTTTTGATTTCATAGAATTTTTGTACGTAGTTAAATAAGTCAGATTGTTATAACAAAATTTCATCAAATATATACCAAATGTAACAAGCTAGTCGAAAAAAATGTTGAAATCGTTATGAAAAATGATTCATTAATAACTTATATAATATTTATCTCAAACAGACACTTCGCTTAAAAAATCACAACATAACTGTATAAGTATCAAAAGTCGAATTTAAAAGTAAAGCAAGTAACATAGAAAAAGATATTCATAAAATAATCCCTAACATAAAAATTGCTATTGGAAATACGTGTGAGATCATACGTTGCACTAAAATAGATAGTTAGTTGTAGTATACTTGTTAGATGTTGCATGACAGTTGACATGTAAACTGTAACTACCTAATAAACAAGACTTGTGAAGTGGAAATACAGTGTCGTAATGTATTGGTTAAATTTTATTAATATAGACATAATTTTTAGTACTTAGTTTATTTTTTGTGGCCCCTAGTAAGAAAATAAGACAATACATCTTTCATATCACTAGAGGCGGATTCAAAATTTAAATTCTTTGGGTTCAACATTTAAGGTTTTTAGCATTAAAGCAATTATATTTTTAAAGTTATAATTTCATATATACTATTTTTACAGTTTTAATAAATTTTTACTCCGCATCAAAAGCTATTGATTCAGTTGAACCTGTCGGTAAAACACTATATTCGCCTCTCATATCGCAACGATCATTGGCAAAACAATTACAAATATTTCAGATAAATAGAGAGGATGCACATATAGAGAGGAATGGAAAAATTAAGAATAAAGAAATGGAATATGAAAAGTTTTTTAAAAAAAGATGAGGGGATTCAAGCTATTTGTTATGTCTAAGCTTAATCTTTGTGTATTTCAACGTTAGCTATAAAAACAAATCGCAAAGAGTTTTAGCAAACAGATCATTGTATAAAGTCTGGAGCCACTGATCCTACATGGGACCCGCCAGCACGAATCTTAAACAGCGCTTTTAAAATTTAAACCCTAATAATTAAATTAAATTAAAAGGCTGGAATCTTTCCAAAAATAGTCGGAGAATTAACGGCTCAGATTCAAGCTCAACAGTTACTGTATATAACAAGCTCTGAGTCAGCAGCCTCCCCTTTCATTCTAACAGCAGTCACAACAGTTATCTCTCATTTCATCAGAGAGAGAGAGAGAGCGAGCCATGTGTGGAATACTAGCTGTTTTTGGTTGCATTGATAACTCTCAGGCCAAGCGTTCCCGAATCATCGAACTTTCCAGAAGGTTTCTTCTTTTTATTGCTTTCCGATTTTCTACAGCATTCTTATTCTTCTGGGGTGTCAATGGTATGCATGTGTTTTGGATTTGCTATTCGTGAACTTGTTCGCTTTCTCGTGGTCTTCGATTTATTTTTGTCAATTTATAATCAGCGTTTTTTGTATGGATTTCTCTTTTGAATCTCTCAAATATATGACATTTGATTTCCTCGAGAAAATTTGGCATTTTTATGGTTCTTATGATATGTGGTTAACCCCTCGCTCTGCATCGCTTCAGCGCTTTAAAACACGAAGTGATGGCTATTAGTAATACTGCTAGAGTGGTTATTGAATTACATTAAATAACGGGTTGCTAGTAGATCAAATTCAGAATGACAGTGAAATATCTCTGGAAACTTGAATCCCCGTTCGATTCGCTGGTAAAACCTGGCTAAAAAATAGCTTTATCTCAAAGGAGAGTATGTCACTGTGAAATTGGTGGTATGTGTTGTTTAAGGCATGATATGCTGCTCTTAGGTGATGTCAAGATGATAATACCATCCTTTTCACACTAGACTCAGCTTTGTAGCACTTACATCTCAGTTAATCGATGGAGGAAAATCTAGTCTGCTTTGGGGCATATTATACCAAATGTCTTCCTTTTGTTTTCTAGTGTTGTTTCTCAAGAATTGAAAAACCAATCTACAATATAGTGATATAATTAACTAGTTAACTCTTCCTGTGTTTTCTGAAAATTTCCAATAATTGAGAAGTGTTTACTGGTCAATTAGTAAAGGGAGAACGGAATATTTTTTTCCTCTAAAGAACTTCTCTTTTTCCATACAGAATGACTTTCTATACAAGGCCTAAGTCTAATTTAGTGTCTGCGATTAAGCATCTTCTGGGAACTTCACACTTGAAAGAAGTAGAACTAGGAGGGGGCAGGTCTAGAAAGATAATTGCTTCAGTCATTTCTCATAAAAAACATTGCTTCAGTCATTATGTGCATTCATATAGAGTTGGTCAAGCTGCTAAGCTGAGCTAATAGTATGATAGCTGTGACTCTCGACAAAGTAGGTTGCCTCTTAGGGCTTTATCCTTTGGCTCCGTAAAGAATTTCTTTGGGAGGGCTCCAGAGTGGGTAGGATTGTTCTCATGGTAAGCTGTAACACCAACGAAACAAGCCTTTGTAGCTGTGGAAGTCCGAGGGGGTGGTGGTGGTGGTGGTGGTGTGAGAGTTAGAGTGGTGGAGGAGAGGGGAGGAGTGAAGAGAAGTTTATATTTTAAAGAATAGGGCCTTGAGAACTTTTAGTAGTGAGCATGCATTATTATTATTGTTATTGTTATTATTATTATTATTATTATTATTATTATTATATTATTATTATTATTATATTATTGTTATGTAATTACTTAGCTAATGAGGTTTTTCCAACTGTTTCCAAATTAGGAAATGTGTTGAAAGCATAGTTAAGTATATAAAAGCGTGTTCTTTCTAATATCCTTAGCTTTTAGAGCAGATAATCACAAAATTTATCATGATAATATAGCAGACAATTTTTCCTAGTTCAAATCTCATGCCACCCTTCATAAAAAATTTCCACGTGCTTGGCTGGCATGTTAGGGGACGTCTTGGCATAATTAAACAAATAGAATTGTCCCTTTCTAACAGCTTAAGCTTTTAGATGAGGCGGTCAACAATTCAACAATTTGCATTTGTTTGATAAGAAGATATTAAAAGAACCTTAAAAGGTGTCAGTATGTGAACAAACTCAAGGGGTAGACTAACTAGAAGTCAATTTAAATTTTCTGCTTGTCTGTGTTTTACTTCTTTTGCACTATAGAAATTGCATTTCCAGCATTCCGAAAGCTGCTTCCTTTGCATATAGACTTCACATTTCCAGCGTTTCTGATAAGCGTTCTTGCTTATTCCTGTCCTTCTACTTGGTTGATTCTCCTCTCACTTAGTTCACTATCTTCTTGCACGCATTTTCAAATTGTTTTATCAATTCTCTTGCTTTCTTTTCATCTGACCCCACAAAATACCTCCCAAAAGCCTTTCTGCTTTTCCGAGTCTGAAATTATCTGCTTATTACTGCCTTTCAAGTATTCTGATGCGTTGACTGTTTTTTTCCCTTGTAGTAATGCATGGTTCGCTGTCCAATCTCTATTTTGTTTTTTGTGAACCACTATTCTTTGTTGCTTCTGTTTCGTCATCCTCAGTTCCCCATCTTCTCAGTTTGATTTTCCTCATTTAAAAAGCGTGTGCCCCTTTTCTTGTGCTACCCTCTAAAAAATCAGTTGCTGTCATCTCGTTTGATCTGTCATGATCCCAGTTGATGCCACATGTTTAGTTCTTTACCTCTGGACAACTTTTACTTCCTGAGAACCACGATTTCTTTTCCTGAAGAAATTCTTAGAAATTGGTTATGTAAAGGAAATTCCCAGCAATCACCATTTGGCCTCTACCTGGCTTGCTTTTCAACTTACCGACACGTGTTCATCCCCTTTTAACAGATGCTGACCATTATCTTCTGCTTGTTGGGGCATACTTCTTACCCATGGTGTTAACCCTGATCTTTCGTATCACATTTTTCAACTCTTAATTCTCACATGTAAAGTGCCTATCTTTGCCTCTTTAGTTGATCTTGGGTTGGGCTGTTAATCCAAATTCTCTGGGCTTTGCTTTGAAGTATGATAAGCGGTAGCTTTACTACAGTACCATATTCTACATTGCTACAGACGTGAAATTATCCTGATTTGTCTTTGATGTGATGTCTGGCAAGTGTAGATTACGCCACAGAGGACCTGATTGGAGTGGATTGCATAGCCATGATGACTGTTATCTTGCTCATCAACGGTTGGCAATAGTAGACCCAACTTCTGGAGATCAGCCACTTTACAACGAGGACAAGACCATTGTTGTCGCGGTATGGAAATATTTATTATATTTTTTCTTAGATATTACCGGTACATGGACTTTGGACAATATTTGTGCGTTTTGATCTTCTATAGTACAAACTTTTCTCGTAGGATAAATTTCCTCTACTTTGAATGGATCTTAACAGGAAAATCGGAATAAACAATTTGTGATTTCGAAATTTTTAGTTCTTACATATTTGGAACATATGCGGTAAAGTAACTAGGCGATTGACTAGGTGAATACGGAGAATTTCCTCTACTGTTATCAATATTTACTCAGCTCATTTGAAAGATCTCTGGGTCGTCTAGCAGTACAGCTATTTAGGCAACTTAACCAAATCCCCTTCCCATGTGTTTCACTTTCTTGACTTATTTTATATTTTGACATTTTGCAATGCCGAAAATAAATTGTTTTTCCATTTTATGACCTTTAAAATGTTGAGGTGAAGGGCTAGGCGGTACTTTAATTGACTTATCAGCAACAATGTATTAGATACAGAGCACAAACTTGTTTGGGTGCCTAATTTGGTATTTTTTGAGAACGATGGAGTAAATGGAAATATGAATTAGCAAAATATTGAAATAGTAGATCTGAAAAATGAATGACTGAATTTAGAGGAGGACCTTTTCTTCTTTCCTTGCTGAAGTGGTTATAAGAGAATTATGTGAAGAACATGTAAGCTTTAGGGTAGTGTTACACCATAACAGTCATGCTTTCCCTCAACTATTAGTGTAGCTGATGAATGCTTTCAGAAATGTGGCTGTTTTTTTGCTGCGTATTTTATGTCTTTCATCATCTCAAAATTTATTGTGTTTTAACACTGCTTGGAAGGCCTAGAGTCTTCCGAAAATAGTAGGTTGAGAAAACATGAGTAAGCAAATTTCTTCCTGCTGGCAATTAATCGTTTTATATGAGGTGAAGCCACACAATCTAACATGGTCTTAGACATAAAAATATTATTTTTGACATAGAGCAGACAGAAATCTTGGGTCTAGTTGCTATCTCCCTTCCTAATAAGATGCCCTCTATCCTCATTGCTATATCCCAAAACAGATTCACACTAGAATGAATAAATCTCTCCTTGCAGCCACATTTATATTAATAAGTAGTGTAACACCAAAACATTTGTGCTTCTGCAAAGTCTGTTGAAGTGGACGATTAAGTAATAAATTGTGTGAGTTTGACTGAAGAGAAAGTAATAAATTGGGTGAGCTTCTCACATTTTTCAGGATAATGTCAATTCATCTGATTGAACTTTTTGAAGGACATCTCCTTTTCTAAAAGTTTTTGTTCACTTCCTGAAAATGGTTGCTTTCCCAAATTTATTCTCCTGTATTTTCCTTGTGCTTTTTTTTTTTACCAGGATGACTCTGGCCTTCCCTTTTGCAAATAGTGACTTCATTACCTTTTAACAAAAGACCAAATAGCCTTTGTATGCTTGAAATCGAAGCAGAATTTACGGCTCAATTTCTCTAGGAGATGTGTAGCAGTAACATAAAACGTGGTTAAAGCAACTTGTAAGCACTGCCACTGTCCAATTTGACATGACTCTATTACTATTTAGAGTGTCAAATAGTGTTTCTTTTGACTACCAATTTTTCAATTTCTTTTTTATACCTTTTTTCTTTGACTGTGACTTATAGTATATTTTATGTAGTTTCAGAATATATATTTTAGTTTTTAAAGAATTGATGTCTGAAAGTACAGCCAATTAGATGGTTTCACCCTCGTACTTTAAATCTTATAAGTTGTCTTAGGTTAAAGGAATAATATGCATGATTACATTGTTTGGATTGATATTCAGAAGATCAAATGTGCCGGACAAAAGCTTGCAGAAGATATAATTCTGTCATTTTGTTGTTTAGATAAACTACCCTTGTCAAATACCTAAAACTAATTCATACTTTTCAGGATCCTTCTTGATTGGACTACTCTGATCTTCTTCCATATATTGATATCCTATTCTTTTTGCTTTTAGGTTAACGGGGAGATATATAACCATAGAGACTTACGGGAAAAGCTGAAGTCCCACCAGTTTCGAACTGGCAGTGACTGTGAAGTTATTGCACATCTTGTAAGTACTTTCAGAATATATTTAGATAACTATACATGACTTCTCAGTTTCTGTGCGCAGAATGATTTCAAAATACCATGACTCAAATTTTTCATCAAAAGCGAAAAAGGTGGATTGTAGTAGGAGAATGAGATTTTTTGTCATAATTTCTTTCTTATGGTACTTGAACTCCGCAATCTACCTATCGCAGTATGAAGACTATGGAGAAGACTTCGTTCACATGTTGGATGGAATGTTCTCCTTTGTGCTTCTTGACACCCGTGATAAAAGTTTCATTGCTGCTCGGGATGCAATTGGCATTACACCCCTTTATATGGGATGGGGTCTTGATGGTATGTAATTGTTCCATTTCATAATTTTTGGTATATTGTCCTTTTAATAAATAGCCCGTGAGCTATATGAAGTTCCTTTGTTGTTTCCTTGTTTTTTATTTGACTGATGTATCTTTGTTGTTTTGCCTACTATTAGGGGTGTCAATGGTTCGGTTCGGCCGGTTATTTTATAAAATTTGTACCATACCAATTTTTAGGTTATTCTATTATGTATAACCAAAATTAGACTTTTTGAAACCGTCCCAATCATGTCGGTTTCTCTTCGGTATCGGTACGGTTCGGTTAATTTTCGGTATTTTTTAATATCATGTAAAATTCACCAGTAGAAGTAGAATTGCAATAACATACATTCTTTTATAGGACTTAGCAAAACTCTCTAGATATTTTTACTGTTTAAAGGGTGATGAATTAAAAAAAAAGAAAAGAAAGATGGCTAGAATATAGATCCATCAACTATTATACAACAGCGTAAAAGAAATCAAACAAAGACAAAGAAAATATTAATCACACGAGTTGAAAGATATACCAAGGTAGGACTCAAGAATAAAGTCTATAGAAGATTAAATATTCAAAAAGATAAATCTAAATTATATGAAAGGAAACATATTCAATTCATTGTAGTTTGCTACTCATAATCGCTAGAATACTTTGTGTCTTGCTAATAAAGATACTTGAAATAATTTAGTTTAAGTAGAAGTAGCATAATAGGTTTTATGAATTAGTATTTTGAGTTTAATTACTTGTTGGCTTGTAATAATTTTCATAATTCCAAGGCTCAAAGAAAATTTATTGCATTATTATTTTTAAACTTACTAAATAAATATATTTTCTACATGTAAAATTTATTCGGTATGGTTCTGTATTTTTTCGGTTTATTTTTATAAAATAAAAAACCTACCCTAATTATCGGTGCGGTTGTAGATTTATATAAAAACCTACGGTTTCTTAAAAAGAAAGCTAAAAATCGGTTCGGTGCGGTACGGTTCGGTCGGTTTAGTCGATTTTCGAATATCCATTGACACCCCTACCTACTATAATGCTGGTCTCATGCTGTTGTTACAAACAAATGATGTATAATAGTGCATAGTACATGTTTTCTTGCCGCTGTAGATCAACAATGTACCAAGAACATCTGTCTTAGCTAGTTCAACCTAATCTTCAGTTATCTATCATTCCAGTGAATAACACATATAGAGTTAGGCCGACATTACCTAAGGCCAACTATACAACATTGTGAGGTGCGACTAAGGAACTCTGAACACTGATCGGGAGAAAAAGCAACTTATCCGTGTTTGTTTTGAAGTACTATGAGGAGGCAGCAACCTTGCTGGATTTATCACTTGACAGTAAATGTCAATGGTTGAGGAACATTTTTAATGACCGGAGGAGAAACAGAGAAGAGAAGAAATAATTGATTTTAAAAAAGCAGAATAGAAAATTTTGTGAAGTCGTATGTTAATTTCAATGAAGAGGATCAACAGGTGCAATATTTGACTTGGCACCTAGCATGTAGAAGTTTCTGGTTGGGGTTGAGCATGGTAGGCACTGTTGCTTTTACAACTGTCATTAGAGTCGGAAACATATTGTATTCTTGAGGGAGCGTTGCTATGGATAAAAAAGGCCTATCTACTACTTGATATTTGGGCATTCAGAACTAGTTGTCTAGGAGGAAGAAAAGGATTTAAAATGGTGAGTATTGTAGGCTTTCTTTGCCGTCCAGGATGCCTGGGCTAGTTCCCTGAATTGGGATACTGGTGGAGGATTTCCTGAAATTGATCATGGCCCTGATATGTTAGGGGATAAGAACATTGAAGGATCGAAGGAAGGTGCCGGCGCTAAGTTTTGCTAGAAATGAACAGTTCCATTATGGCTTTTGTCAAAGATGGGAATGGAATTGGCCCCAACTTCTAGGCATCTCCATCCATCGTCAGGTGAACTAAAGTAAGGTTACACTGGTAGAATTTTTCATTATTTCATATTAAGTAAGGTGAAGCCGTCAACAATCATTGCGTGAGAAGGAACCAGGAACAAAATCTAGAAGATGTCTACTAAAGTGCTAATAGATAATCTGCAAAATTTAGCACGGTAAGGCTAGTGTAGATCTGGTTCAAATTTTAAATTGGTCCAAAATGCGTTAATAAATGTCGGGCCTCGTTTTGGTCCCCCGAAAGGTTGCTAAATAAAGACTTGACAAAGAAACAGGTGAAGGAGAAGCCCAAACATTTGAACAAACTACACCTAGCCTAAACAAAGTGATTGTTTGCGAGGAGGAAAAGCGAGCATGCGGAGAGAGCCTCAAACACAAAAAATGGCCTAGTCTTGTAATGAGTCTAGCCAAATCATGTAAGCTCCGACTTTCAAGAGAGATCAACAGAAAACTTCGTCAATCCGGATAAATCAAGAAAATTATGATAATGGAAAGGAGGCTGGACATTCTACTGCCGACGCAACCCCTGGTTTTGGAGTCAGTGAGACAAGTGGAACTAAAGAAGAATATGGATCAAAAGAGTTTATCCAGTTGACACCTGATAGACTCACTACATCAGTTTTCAGTTCAAGAACATTTCAATTCTTGCTGATAAAGATAGTTGCCGATAAAGATAGGCAAACTGTTACCTACCAATCAAAGGAGGTTGTTTCAATTGAGTTAGAGGTATCAAAGGAGGAGCCAGTATATATAGAGCAAGTTTTGATGAAGGGAGTTGCCTCTATTTGAGACCACCAGGTACTCAAGTGCTTCCCGTAGTTCCTAGGCATTTTATGATGGATATGATAGAGAAATGTCTTATTGACAAGAATATACTAGGGCTACAGGGATAATAGGGTTGGGAAGGTGAGGACTTCTTTGGTTGCTGTCAGGAACTTGGAAACAAAGGGAGAAAGGGGTTGGAATCAAAGGTTTTGATTTCGTTTTTGATTTATAAGGAAATAATGGGTAGTGGATGGAGTCGAGGATAGGAAAGAGGTTTACCAGTTGCACCATTGAATATGTAATTAGAGACACTATCCTCTTGTTAGGGAACACGACTATCACAAGCACGTAAGGGTGAGTGAAAGCTCCGACATGGACGTGGTTTATTCGGGTATGTTGGCACGAAGCCTTCGTGTCTAGGTTTGGTGTTGGGTTAAGTGCAACTCCTTAGGAAGGCAAATAAACTTGGGACAGATTTGATAGTTGTCGGAAGTTGCACAATGATGATATTTTCTTTATCCAAACGCTACGAATGATTGCACATATAGTAACTAGAGTTATTTCTCATTTGAGCTTTTATATGTAAGAATCAAATAAAATGATTGATGAAATGCATGAAAGCTCAAATGAGAAATAACTAGTTGTGAGAATGCACGGGGGAAAAATATATTATATTGATTAAAGTGTTGTACAACCCTATTTAGATACAGTAATTACATAATAATAGGTATCTACTTCCCGATGTGGGACACTAGACATGACTAACTACTTAACAATCCCCCTCAAGCCGGTGCATATAAATCATATGTATCGAGCTTGTTACAGATGTAACTAATACGAGAACCAGTAAGAGACTTAGTGAAAATATCTGCTAGCTAATCATTCGACTTTACAAACTTTGTAACAATATCTCTTGAGAGTATTTTTTCTCTAACAAAGTGACAGTCGATCTCAATGTGTTTAGTCCTTTCATAGAACACCGGATTTGACGCAATATGAAGAGCAGCTTGATTATCACACACCAGTTCCATCTTGCTGATTTCTCCGAACTTCAACTCCTTGAGCAACTGCTTGATCCAAACTAGAATCACACGTTGCCACAACCATGGCCCGATATTCGGCTTCGGCGCTAGATCGAGCAACTACATTCTGTTTCTTGCTCTTCCAAGAGACTAAATTACCTCCTACTAGAACACAATATCCAGACGTAGAACGTCAATCAGCAGGTAATCCTGCCCAATCAGCATCTGTGTACCCAACAATCTGCTCGTGGCCTCGATCCTCAAATCGTAACCCTTTGCCTGGAGCTGACTTTATATACCGAAGAATGCGAACAACTGCATCCCAGTGACTATCACAGGGAGAAACCATAAACTAACTTGCAACACTCACCGGAAAAGAAATATTAGGTCTAGTCACTGTGTGGTAATTTAATTTGCCAACCAACCTCCTCTATCTCGTAGGATCTCTAAGATGCTCCCCCTGTCCATGCAGAAGCTTAGCATTCGGATCCATAGAAGTGTCAACTGGTCTACAACCCATCATTCCAGTCTCCTCAAGAATGTCTAAGGCATATTTCCGCTGTGAAATAACAATACCTGAGCTAGACTGAGCGACCTCAATACCTAGAAAATACTTCAATCTGCCCAGATCCTTAGTCTGGAAGTGCTGAAAGAGATGCTGCTTCAGATTAGTAATACCATCTTGATCATTGCCAATAATAATAATATCATCAACATACCACTCAACTTTGGCATTTCTATCTCAATTTGGCTGGAATATCCTGGACAATGCCCAATAACACTGCGTCTCTTCTCAGTAGCTGGAACAATGGAGGGGCAAATATTAAACAGAAGAAATGGTGGAAAGTAGTTCCTGCTTGTATCTGGTGGGTCATGTGGAAGGAAAAGAATGCAGAGTTTTTGAAGATAGGCCTAGCTCTTAGCCTCTTACCAGAAAATTAAGCTTAATTGTTTTTTGTTATTTCATTTTTGGTGCAAAGAGAGCTATAGGGAGGATGTACATTCTTTACTAGATTTGCTAGAAGAAATGTAATCGATTAGAATAGGCAAGGCAGTTGCAGATCTTTTGGGGTCTGATTGTGGCTTACACTATCTCCTGTAAATATTTTTAATCTTTTATATAATTTGTTACCATTCTAAAAAAAAACATAAACCACCAGATAAATATACAGATTAGGAGCAGAATGTCGATAAAGCACAGAGTGATCCGCTTCACTACGAGTCATGCCGAACTCCTGAATAATTATGCTGAACTTACCAAACCAAGCTCGAGGGAACTGTTTCAAACCATATAGTGACCTGCGCAATCGGCATACAAGACCACTAGACTTCCCTTAAGCAACAAAACCAGGTGATTGCTCCATATAAATTTCTTCCTCAAGATCACCGTGGAGGAAAGCATTCTTAGTGTCTAACTGATAAAGAGGTCATTGACGTACAACAACCATGAACAAGAAGAGACAACCGATGCTACTTTAGCCACGGGAGAGAGTGTCACTATAATCAAGCCCAAAAATCTGAGTGTATCCTTTTGCAACAAGACGAGCCTTAAGACGATCAACTTGGCCATCCGGGCTGACTTTGACTGCATAAACCCAACGATAACCAACAATAGACTTACTTGAAGGAAGAGGAACAAGCTTCCAAGTGCCACTCACATGTAAAGCAGACATCTCCTCAATCATAGTTTGTCGCCATCCTGGATGAGATAGTGCCTCACCTGTAGACTTTGGGATAGAAACAATTGACAAAGATGATATAAAAGCATAATGAGGTGATGACAGACGATGATAACTTAAATCGACATAATGAGGATTAAGATTAAGAGTGGATCATACACCTTTCCGAAGTGCAATCGGTGTACTAGGAAGAGACAAGTCCGCAGTAGGAGCAGGGTCAAGTGTAGGATGTGAATCAGTTGGGCCTGATGCTGGGTGCGGACGACGATGATATGTCAAGAGTGGTGTTCCGGTGGCGGGGAATCTAGGAGGAGCCACACTAGACTCCCCAACGGTTGGAATGGGTAAGACTTATGTGGCGGAAGGTGAAGGAGGAGCTATAGTAAGCTCTTTAAAGGTCGGTATAGGTAAGACCTCAGATATATCAAGGTGGTCAGAAGAGGTAAAGAAAGGTTTAGACTCAAAAAATGTGACGTCAGATGACATAAAGTAATTACGAAAATCAAGTGAGTAACAACGATATCCCTTTTGAACACGAGAATAACCAAGGAAGACATACTTGAGAGTACGAGGAGCTAACTTATCTTTCCTAGGGGCTAAATTATGAACGAAACAAGAGCTCCCCAAAACACGAGGAGGAACAGAGTATAAGGGTGACTGGGAAACAATACTGCATACGGAATCTGATTCTGGATGGGAGATGAAGGCATTCGATTAACCAAATAACAAGCTGTGAGAACTGTATCGCCTAAAAAACGCAACGGAACATGAGATTCAAAGAGAAGTGTGCGAGCAGTTTCAATGATGTGCCTATTCTTTCTCTCTGCAACCCCATTTTGCTGAGGGGTATAAGGACAAGAGGTCTGATGAATAATTCCTTGAGAAGTCATAAAGTGCTAAAATTGAGAGGATAAATATTCTAAGGCATTATCACTGCGAAAAGTGCGAATAGAAACACCAAATTGATTTTTAATTTCATCACAAAAATTCTGGAATATAGAAAACAACTCAGAACGATCTTTCATTAAGAAAATCCAAGTACATCTTGAATGATCATCAATGAAACTATCAAACTAACGAAATCCCAAGGTTGAGTTGACTCTACTATGACCCTATATATCAGAATGAACTAAAGAAAAAACAGACTATGCATGACTCTCAATACTACGAGGAAAGGAGGCTCAGGTATGTTTCCCGAGCTGACATGACTCACACTCTAATGTAGATAAACTAGGCACTATCTTCTGAAGCTTGGATGTCCTAAACATCTGTGAATTAGGTCCGGAGGATCTGTAACTAGACATGCCTTGGAGGAATTGAGTGGGTTAAGGTAGTAAAGGCCTTCTAATTCAAGTCCTGTTCCAATCGTCTGTCCGTACTGCGGTCCTGCATAATAAAAGAATCATTAATAAAATATATACCACAATGGAGGGCACAAGTCAAACGACTAACAGATGCAAGATTAAAAGGACAACCAGGGACATAAAGAACGGAATCTAGAGTGACAGAGGGTAGGGGATTCGCTTGTCCAACTCCTTTTGCTTTAGTTTGAGACCCGTTGGCTAAAGTAACAGTGGAAAGAGACTGTGAATACGCAATATTTGACAAAAGTGATTTATTACCAGAGATATGATCAGAAGCGGTTGAGTCCACAACCCATTGTCCAAGAGTACTAGACTGGGAAACACAAGCAAAAGAATTACCAGCAACAAAAGCATCAGTCTGAGCAACAGAGGCTACTTGTGGAGATGTCTGCTTACTTGCTCGATACTGAAGGAACTTATTATACTCCCCTTCCGATAAAGAAAATACCCGGTTACCTATAGTCTCGGTCTGAGCAACATAAGCATTTTTGGGTGGACGACCATGTAAAGAATAGCACACGTCACGAGTGTGTCCAAGTTTATGACAATAAGAGCACTTGGGTCTAGATCTTCCAAAACGACCTCCTCCTCGTCTATTCTCCATAGTTTGAGATGCCCGATTGTTCACTTACTGGGATACGAGAACAGATGAGTCAGGTCTCTGTGATGAGCTCACTGGGTGACTTGGTGCTGCAGCAAGGCGAAGTAATCGAGAGAATAATTCATCAACTGTGGGGACAGTCGGACTAGCCAAAATCTGGTCACGTACTGAATCAAGGTCATTAGGGAGTCCATCAAGTGTAAGAACTAGAAACATCTTCTGTCGTTGCTCTTGTTGCTTTTTAATACTAGCAGAAACTGGCATCAACGTCTCAAATTCTTCCATGATTGCCTGTACTTGTCCCCTAGTAAGTAGACATATCCAATTCCTGTTTCTTCAAGCTTGTCATTCGCGATATTACATCATAGAAACGAGATATGTCATTAGTGTATAAAGTACGAGCCTTTTCCCAAACTAAATAACATGTCTGGAATGGACGGAACAAGGGCATCAACTTGGAATCAATAGATTGCCACAGGATACTACATAACTGAGCATCGACCTTCTTCAAAAGTGTTTTGGCCTTTTCATCACCTTCGCTAGCCTTTTTTGTTAAATGATCTTGAACTCCTTGACCTTTACAACACAACTCGACAGACGAAGCCCAAGCTAAGTAGTTTGAACTTCTCATTAAAGGTTCTGAGGTAATCATAATAGCAGAACTTCCAGAACTCGTGTTTTTAGACCCAAATACATCCACTCCCAAAGACATTATTGGATTGAAAAGAGATCTAGCAAATTAGCACCAAATAAAACAAAGAATCAACTGTGGTTGCCCAAAAACTGCCGGAAAACTACTGTAGTTGCCGGAAAATTTTCAAAGTGCTCGGAATCAAAAAATAAAAATATGGGCAGGCTCGGAATGGTAGAGCGATCAGACTAACCTAAAGGAGTTTTTCTGAAAAAATTGACGGAACGGGCTCCATGCGCTGGTGCGTGGAGTAGATCTCGCCGGAGAAGACTGTCTCCGATCGGCGCGTGGCGGTGCGTGAGGCGGCTTATGACGGAGGTGTTCGCTGGGGTTTGGTCGCCGGAAGTTGGGGGACCTTGTGGTGGTGTTGGTTTTTGCACAACACCGATGGAATTGGTTTTGACGAAAAATAGCCCTAAAAGGTCACCGGAATTGAAGCACGGCGACGGCTGGTTTTTTTTTTCCCCGGATGTTTTCTCACTGCCGCTCTGATACCATGTGAGAATGCACGGGAGAAAAATATATTATATTGATTAAAGTGTTGTACAACCCTATTTATATACAGTAATTACATAATAATAGGTATCTACTTCCCGATGTGGGACACTAAACATGACTAACTACTTAACACTAGTAACCTCATGGTTCTCATCCTACTTCATTGACCACTTGGCCACATCCTTGGGTGCCTGCACTGTAGTTGTAGCTGTAATGAAGATAGTTTTTTTTCTTTTCTGGATACTCTTATATTGTGACAATTTTTCTCTATTTGCTGTTAATGGATGAGGTTATGTGACTCTCCGGTGGTGAGAATGTTAATGAACATCAAGCTCACATGTCATTTCATTTTCTGATTGATCTTGCTCTTCACTCTTTACGAGTTTAATGTGTTAGTCCTTCCAAGTTCTGTCCATCTATCTTTCTGGTGTGCTTAACCCATGTATATTGGACCACACTTTGTATTCATGCTGATTGCAACAAAGCCTGACTGATCCTGAACTCCTCCTTTATGCCTTAGGTAGAAATTTTGTGTGTTTAGTGTTACATGTTTCGCTTCAAAGGAAAAAGGGAGAAACTTAAGGTAGAATCCTGCTCCTTGACCTTTGGATCCTTGCACATTGAAGTGGACAGACATGTTTGCTTTGCTTTGATGAGTTGTTTTAGTAGTCGGTCTAAACAACTGCTGATGTATTCTGCTTTATTGTAAGTGTCTATAATTTTTATCTTTCCACAATTTGCTTTCAGCTCTTTCTGCATGTAGAGAAAATAACAGAAGCTTCTATTTGATCATGTAATATTGACTGCGCAAGTTCAGTTTTAAACAACTTTGGCTATGCATATGCAAGCAATGACCTGAAATAAATATTATTTTTTATGCAGGGTCTGTATGGTTTTCTTCAGAGATGAAAGCCTTAAGTGATGACTGTGAACGATTTGTTAGTTTCCTTCCCGGTCACATTTATTCAAGCAAAAATGGTATGCCCATACGAAGCTCATTTCTGAGCTTGTGCTTCATTTATGTTGATAGTTGATCATGTTTCCTATACGATCAGCGTACTTTTGCTATTTATTTCAGATTTACTTTAGGACCCTGTCGGAAACAGTCTTGAAACCCTTATTGATGGTGTAATTGTTATCTCTTGATCAACCAAAGGAGTAATTACATGTAATTATTACAAATTTGCAATAAAATAACTTTTAGGATAACCAGTGGAGCTTAATGAATCTTTTAGGATATTTGGGATGCTAGAGTGATGTACTTTTGATAATGTCGGTTAATATAAAATCCTCTGACTTTGTACTGATGTACTGGCTGAGCAGATTTTATATTACTTTCTAGTCCCTCTGCAAATAAAAAAATTGTGAGACTGCAATATAACACCATTTTTTAATGCATTTACAATGTTTAAACTTGATGTAGCAGTGAAGAACATGTCGACCTTAAACAGAGGTTCTATTTGTCCTAGATAAAGGAACATCAGCGTAATGAAACATTACAGGAGAGAAGCTCTATTGAGTTTTTGTTAATCTAGAGGGAGCCCGTAAATAGAACACCAATTCATCTGTTATATGACTTCTTTTTCATTTTGGAACGTTTTAAAAGTTTGACAACATTTTTTGATCTCCGTACACTAAACTTTTTGATGTATTAAACTAACTATTTCCACTACTTTAATATTTTCTTCCTTAAACAACTCATGTTAGCATCTTAAACTGTGTGTGTTCAATACCCTCATAAAAAATTAAACGAGTATTTTTTTATATTTGCTTATGCCCTTGGAGATTGGGATGGGGAAGTTCATCATTTGAGGTGAAAGGTAAATTCTTTTGGATGGACAAAAAGTGAACCTCGTCTTTGGCATGGAGGGACTATTTAAATCGTCATCATTACCAAAGTCATCCTTTCAAATGTTTACTTTCAAGAACTATTCATGCTATTTCTCAAGTATATTATGGGTGCAGGAGGACTCAGAAGATGGTACAACCCACCATGGTACTCAGAAACCATTCCTTCTACTCCATATGATCACCTTGTCTTACGGAAAGCTTTTGAGAAGGTCATTCTATTTTGGATGTCGCTTGTTTCTGAGTTGTACATAATATTTAGGTGCCACTTTGTTATATTTTGAACTTCATCAAAAGCCTTTGGTTTTTTGAGGACACATATCCCCTTGACTGACTGGGCGCTGAATTTCCTTGATGTATTGTGCTTATTTTGATTGTCCTCTTCTTTGTAATACTCTTGCCTATAAATAAACCTTCTTTATCAAAAGAAAATGATAAAATGTTAATAACACTTTGTGATATATGTTGAAGGGGAGTCTTGGCATAACTGGTAAAGTTGCTGCCATGTGACCAGGAGGTCACGGGTTCAAGCCGTGGAAACAGCCTCTTGCAGAAATGTAGGGTAAGGCTGCATACAATCGACCCTTGTGGTCCGACCCTTCCCCGGACCCCGCGCATAACGGGAGCTTAGTGCACCGGGCTGTCCTTTTTTTTTGCATAGACTTTACATGATATTTTATTTCAATCTTTATCAATTCTTTTTTACCTTCACATGCAAATTATACTACCGTATGTGAAATATGCAATAGTTTTTCCCGCAATTTTCATCTTTCATGTACCTCTCTCTACTATCCTTGTATTACTACTGATTTGGTGCATTAGATGTTAATTTTATTCCCAACCTTTACTTTATGCAGGCTGTAGTCAAGCGACTTATGACGGATGTACCATTTGGTGTGCTTCTCTCAGGTGGACTAGATTCTTCACTTGTTGCTGCAGTGGCCAACCGTTATTTGGCTGATACTGAAGCTGCGCGACAATGGGGATCACAGTTGCATACCTTTTGCGTAGGCTTGAAGGTGGTGATGCTCCCTTTTGTAAACTTGCTCTGATTAGGGAATTGCTAGCTGTATCATCCCAATTCACATGGAAGTTCTAGACCATTATTGCTGTTTCTTTTCCATATATAGGGATTTTCTGAAAATAGTAAAAAGGAAATGGAATTTCTCATTATTAAAGATACCAAATGCCTTTTTGGGAAATGATCTTACAGTTGAATCTGAAATTTCCTTTTGACATTGTGATTAATTCTGATATGAATTTGGTCCATCCTGGCTTTCCTTCTCTTGATTGTAGATTTTTTTTCTCTTTTTGCAATTATATGCCTTTGTATTTCATATCTCTTATTATGCTATTATTTTATTATGCATTTTTATGGTACTAATATATCG